CTTTTTTTTTTTTTTTTTACCGCATACGGCTCTGAGTATTTTACGGTCATACGAAAATTGCTCCATAAACTATGAGAAGACCACGTCGGATAAACAAACATGACTACTTGTTGTATTGACAGAGCGAACAGATGTTTGCCTTTGGGTTTTTCCGTCTGTTTCGAGCTCTTCGTCTGGTCAAGCTGTTAAACCAAGGCTCTGGTATCAAGACCTTACTATGGACTTTCATCAAATCCTTCCAGGTTTGTCCTAGTTATTATGTTAATTTATGCATTCAAACAACTTGGATGGCCTCCTGCGCCCGAGCTCAGTCCTTGGGTTCAACCTCAGTGACTTATCTGTTAAATGCCCTTGAAACAGATCTCCTCGGCTCTGGAGCGCTCGAGCGTAATGTTTTCCCATTTCAGACCACATGTCATTCCCTTGAGAATATATTCTTGTTTGAGTTATATCCATATTCATGTGTCTTCTCATGTGCAACCGAGCGCAAACCTTAAACAAAGAAATKATACTGTAGGGAATGACACGTGGTCTGAAATGGGAAAGCATTACGTCAGAGCCGAGGAGGTCTACTGAGCACAGATGGGGAGGGTTGCTACAAGGACGCAACTTTGACATTCTTGAAACCAGCCTCGCTCGAAAAATGAGCCTTTCGACGTTAAATATCCGACTCTACCTCAACCTTTATATTTTCACGTTGTATTGTCAAAAAAATTCTCTCTGATTAGATATTGATTTCAACAAGTGAGTTCGATTGGTTTGTTTTTTGGGGTTTTTTTTTTCCTTCGTGTGTGTTTTTTTTTTTTTGTTTTTTGTTTTTTTACTTTGTTTTATAACCAATATAGTATGAGTAGTTTAGTCGGCTGTGGCTTATGTGTATCTACTATTTTCTTTACAGGCTTTGCCATATGTTGGTCTTCTTATTATCATGACCTTCTTCATCTATGCTGTGGTTGGCATGCAGGTATCTTATATATAGGCTACCATTCCAATCTATATCAAGTCACCGTGGAGGGGGGACTAAAAGACCACAATATTTTGAGCTTTTTACCCTCATCAAAATTTATGGGGGGAGGGGTTACTTCATATCATACTGAGTACGATCCTACCCTTGAGTTCTCCGTGCTACAGTTGCATTTATTAAACCCTACTTAACTATGAAATCCTGAGCGTAAAAAGTTGTTTCTGTATAAAGCAATTTTTATCGAACTAGTCATTTTGAAAGTCATTTAGGATTTTCTAATTATCTTGAAAAATATGTCCCCATGAAACAGTCCCATGAAACAGTCCCACAATGCATTGCAATATCAACTTGACCCAGTTTATTTCCTTACCTAGGAATGGCTAATGAATATAGAATATAAAATATATAGAGGATATTACATGGGCGCGCGGAGATACGAATTTTATCTTCGAGTGTTCAATTGATATCTCACGAGTGAGCGCAGCGAACGAGTCAGATGTCTAAATTGAACACGAGAAGATAAAATTCGTATCTCCGCGCGGCCATGTAATGTTCTGTTTATTATATAGATATCGATGAAACTTAGATAAAACAAAAGCTCAAAAATTCTTTATTAAAATAGCAAGCCGATTCAACAGCGATATCTTCACGTGTGAAAGATATGGTATCTTCCACTGGTGAAAGATATCAAGTTTTCGACACTAGAGAAAACCTGGTATTTCATCGATATATATATATGATAAAGAAAAATATGGCACGATTACGGTAGTATAACGATATTTAGACCCTAACATATGTATTTTTTAAAAGTTTATTATGAATCCTGACTTTTCAATTTTGAAGTACCTCCATGTTGTATTTACGTGTAGATGTTTGGACGAATAGCGATAGACGATGATACACACATAAATAGAAACAACAACTTCCAGACTTTCCCGCAGKCGTTGATGGTGCTCTTCAGGTAAGCTATTGTGTTGTTACTATTGCTATTTTGGTCATATGTAACACGCTGCATTCTTCAAGTAATATTGGATCCGCGGGAACCCTATGGTTTTTGAGGGCTAAAAAACGAATCAGCGGTCGTGGCCAAAATCGCGGGCTCGCATGCTTGCGCTAAAAAAAATGTCTGGTTCCAAAAATATCAAAATCAGCTTCAAAACTGCTATGCATAAGTTAAGCTCATTTCTTGAAAATAAAGGAAAAATATATCTTGATTTATTAACCAATGCTTAAGGCTTGATCTGAATTTTTAAACCTAACATTTTTAAAAAGAAATGTATGGCACTAACACATCACATGCGTTAACAGCCTCGTTATTAGGTTAGACATACATTTCTTTGGAAAAGTTCCACGAACGTTCTTCTATTATCGATGTGACAAATAGCGCAGCGCACTGATTCTAAAAATAGCTTAAAGATTCGGACAAACATTGCATTCTGTTTAACCTCTACGAGGATTATACGAACCGATTTTATTATTTTTACTTAAAAATACAATAATAACCCATGTAAACTAAGATCAACTGCGATCGGCTGTGAAAATTATCTGCTGAAAGTGAACTTGTAAGTTTGTTTGTCCGAATTTCGCCTTTGTCTTCGTTCTTATGACGTCACGGTTGCGCTGCGCTATTTGAAAGTAAACTTCTTTTTCCGATTAAGATGTCTTATAATGTCACGCTAACAGATCCAAGATATGAGTCGATATTTTAAAATCTTTGACAGGTCAGCCACAGGAGAAAACTGGCAATTGATCATGTTAGCTTGTTCGAGCTCACCTGATGTCAAGTGTGATGTGAATGCAGAACCTCAAGAAGAGAATGGTCTTTGTGGGACGTCCTTCTCTTTCTTCTATTTCGTCTCCTTCTACGTCATCTGTTCTTTCTTGGTCAGTCATCGCCTTATTTTTGTCTAGATATGGTTTTCAGATAAAACTTTTTAAGCAAAAGCAGGAATCCTCAGGTCCCCCCGCCCCCGCCCCTCTTGCTTTCTCTCTGTAGTCGTTTCCCTTGCCGTCCCCAAATAAAGTGTTCATATCGTGCTAGGTTACTAAATCCTGTATATTTTATTGCATTTTAGATTATCAATTTATTCGTTGCTGTTATAATGGATAATTTTGACTATCTGACGCGCGATTGGTCAATTCTTGGCCCCCACCATCTGGATGAGTTCGTAAGGGTGTGGTCTGAGTACGACCCTGAAGCAAGGTATGACAGCCATACTAGAATCAATCAGTGGTACTAGAATCAAGTACCAATTATTATTTAGTCACCTCTAGTTACCCGTGCTCCGATTGGTTCAAACCTGTGTTCTCTCGATGAAGAGTGCAAGTCATCTGCACGCTAAGCAGGCTTTGCTAAATTCTACATCGAAAACTTGTACCTCATGAACGTAATTCCAGTAAGATTCTTTTCTTTTCCTTTGATCAATCTTCTGTGATATCAGCATTTATCCAAGAAAAGGAATTTTGGTAGTTTTGGTCGGGATGAATTTGCTGATTCTGATGCATGGATGAGTTTTGAAGGTTTGCCCTAGCGATCGGCGTCGCCCCTTTAGTCCTCACCGTATTGTGGTGTGTTATTATATGTCTTAGTGTGATTTATTGTGTTTTTTGACGTCCACAGTGGTTGTGTCAAGCATTTGGACATTGTTACTGTATTAAAGAGAATTGCCCCTCCTCTTGGATTCGGGAAGTTCTGTCCTCACAGAGAAGCCTGCAAGGTAACGACTGGCCAGTCCATGGTTAATATCATCATGATGATGATGATGATAATGATGATGATGATAATGACCATGACGGCGATGATGATGATGACAATGATGACGTTGATGAAAATGATGATGATGATGATGATGACAATTATGATGATGACTATGATGATGGTTATGATGATGGTGGCAATGATGATAATGATGATGACGGTGATGATCGTGATGATGGTGGCAATGATGATAATGATGATGACGGTGATGATCGGATGATGACAATAACGATGAGGATGATTATGATGGTGATGAGGATGGTGATGATGGTGTTGTTGATGACGATGATGATGGTGATGTAGGTGATAATGATGATGGGTGAAGATGGAGACGACGAAATTATGGCGATGAAGGTGATGACGACTGTTAGGAATTTAAGCAAAGTTTTCGCACATGTATCCGGTATACTTTCTTCTGTTTTGTCATTATTTACATATGATTATAATATATTATAATAATATATTAATATATGCAACATAGCTGTATATTATTGCACATAAGCAAGTGATGTTTTTCTTTGTGTTTCAGCGTCTAGTAAGCATGAACATGCCGTTAAACAGGGATGGAACTGTGAACTTCAACGCTACACTCTTTGGTCTAGTTCGAACATCACTGAACATCAAACGACCTGAAGGTAACAACATCTCACACATCAGTAGGTCTTAGCATCAATCTGTTATTATGATAGATAACATTCATCAGAAAGTCAATTTCAGATATACTGAAATCTTTTTTGAAGGAAACTGTGAGTGACGTGACGTCTTCAACCTACTAATAGAGAGTTTTAGATTTACGTTCGCGGCAAACGTGAAACGTCAGTTGACCAGTAAAAAATTATTTTAAATTACTGAAAAAGAATCGCAAAAAAGTCCAAGTAGTAGAAAAACAAAAGAGTATTTGCGCTTGGTGAGAAGGTTTGTAAATAGTAAAGTAAAATAAAGGAAAACTATGAAAACGTGGTCACGTTTGCCGTTTGCGGCGAGAAAAAAAGTCAATCTAAAACTCTCTAATTATCTTATATCTCTCGAACCAAAAATGCTAACAAGAAATAAAAAACGCCTATTTTGTTATTCTGTAAAGTGCTTTAACATGTGTTTAAATTGTAAGAATTGGAGATATTAAGATTTCATCGTAGTGGCACTTTAGGGATTATTGACGATGATCTTCATAATAGTTATTAGTATAAATACACAGGTGATTATTGAAAATCTCGCGCGCTGATTGGTTGAGAAACTCAGATTATCACACGATAATCACCTCCAGCGATAATCCAAAATGGCGGCCAGCCGCTTTGTTGCTGTTACCGGGAAAAAAAGTGTCTTTTTCTTCTTTTTTTTCTTTTTTTTAAAGAATCACCTGTGTATTTATACTAAAACAATTATTCACTCAGGCTCAGTGAATATTGGGAATAATAACCACAACTTCGTTTCGGTTATTATTCCCCGATATTCACTTCGCCTTCGGCGAATAATTGTTAACTAATTGATGATGACAGTGCTAGTTGAAAAAAAGTTCTCTAATATTCTTCTAGGTAAGGGCTCGATCGAGAAGGCAAATGAGGAGATGCGAGCGATCATAATGAAAGTCTGGTCAAAAACATCGCCGGAATTCCTGGACACAATCGTCCAACCCCCTGGCGGAGGTACTTAGATATGATATATGTTATCTCTAACCAATAGAGGTTTTGCACCATCACGTGACGGCAGCCATGTTACATGGCAGGAACAATAGAATTCGTTCACATGAGAAAGAATTCAATTCCCAAGAGCAAAGGGATTTATAGTAGGAATGTACACGCTACGGAACAATACGATGACACGAGTGAAAAACGTCTGCGCATTCTCTGAATCCGTATGCAAATTACTCAAAACATAATTTGACTTTCAAGCATGCCTGATAAATTGGACTTCACAAAATGCCAAAACTTAGTGTCCATGCTTGAAACTTAAGGCTAATTCTTTCATATTGTGTTTGTTAATACAGTATCTTGGTCTGACAAAAGTATACTCTCGAACTTTTTTGTATGCTTGGAGAAAACAAACATTTACTTTTTCACTCAAACTCTTCAAAATTCTTAGAAAACGTGCTGAAGTGCACGCATGCGCAAACGTTTTTCCCTGGCGTCCAATACGAGTTGATTAAGATGCTACGGGTTTTGGTTGAATAGCTGAATATTTTAACGCACAACTGAGGCTGAGCAAAAGAGAACTCGAAACTAGAGTATCGCAATGAACTTCAAAAGGATCCGTTTTTCGGCTACGCCTGACCTCGTGAGTCCACAACACATTTTGACGGCTAGATGACGAAAATCGTGGTTGTGAGAACGGAAATGACGTAATGTGTTAAGTCTCACGTGAGATGTGTGTAGACACATTTTGTTTCTTCTGTTCAGACCTGAAAGAATCTGAAAGAATCTAGAATTGAAGTCTACGAATTGCGTTTTAAATTCGAGTTTTGGGTCTTAAATTTAATGAGGAAATCAGAATTTTTTCACGTCTTATAGTTACGAAAATCTCTATTCTACAGTGGTAAATAAGAGGACATGCCACGGAAAATTGTAGGAAATTGGTTTAATACATCGGTTTATTAATTCACTTATCTACGATATAGTAACCTTTTTTTTCTATTGGAGCGGGCGGCATTTTCTATCTTGGGATACTGGATTGCTAAACAACAAAACAAGTAATTTACCGGCCTAAAGTCGGTTGGGATAAGGAAAAACTGTGTCCTCGGCCTTAAAAGTGGACCTCGGGCACAGTTTTAAGCCGCCACCCGGTTAGCTGAGTTGGTAAGAGCGTCGGCGTCGTTCTGTTGTGCGGGAGGTCGTGGTTTAAGCCTCAGCCGGACCAACACCCAGGATCTTAAAATAACTGAATAGAAGGTGCTGCTTTTGTAATTACAGCTGCAAATGGTTAGACCTTCACGTGCCTCGGATGAGCATATTAATGGAAGTCTCGTCCCTAATTAACTAGAGACATTAAAAGATGACCACGAGTTTATCGTTAGAATTACTGCCTAGTGTCAACCACTATAAACAAAGTCGATTTTATTTAGGCCCCGTCCACTCGTGTCCGGAAATTTTTGTATCCGTATCCGCAATTTTTTTGAAAACGGTCTCCAGAGTGGAAATTATCGAATACGATCCGAATACGGATACGGGTGCACGGCCGTATCCGCAAATTTTTGAATATGATGACGTAAACACGATTTTGCAAATGCTCAATAAGAAAAACTATTCGTCAAAGGGACTAGACACTAGCGTGCATCAGGGCGGATCAAGAAATTTCCGATAACGTGTGGACAGAGAAAACGATTCGAAAACGATTCGAATACGCTGCGTGTGGACGCGAACATTTTCGTATCCGCAAAAAAAAATTTGCGGATACAAAAATTTCCGGATACGTGTGGACGGGGCCTTATATTTTTTCCATATGCGGACCTCCTGGCCAATTAAAAACACTTACATACACTTACATATACAGACAATAATATGTTTGTTGTTTATTCTAGACGACGAGGTAACAGTAGGCAAGTTTTACGCCACGTACCTTATCCAGGATTACTTCAGGCGGTTCAAGGCACGGCAACGTGCAGAGGACATGGAGCACAAAGACAGCAATAGTACCCAGGCTCTACAGGTCTGTAGAAATAATTTACTAATATAGAAAAAGATTAGTGTTTAAAACATCGACATAACACCGTTCCTATAGCCCAGCCTTTTCCCGGCTCAAGATTAAATATTAAATATTAAGCTGATCCTCGCTCTGCTTACATTTGACTACTCAAATCACAAGCGTGAAGGAGGTTTGAAAATGTATTCTTAATTAGTATGCTTTAAATTGATAGCTTGAGAAGCCATGTCAAGCACTGTGTCTCATCCTTTATCCAAACACCTCGAAGTTGGTTTAAAAAAACTCGGTTTCGTCTCGTTTTTTCACTCACTTCTCAGTGTGTGAAATAGAATAGAAATAGGTTTTCCCATTTCAGACCACTTGTCATTCCCTAGAGTATCATTTCTTTGTGTAAGGTTTGCGCTCGATTGCACATGGGAAGACACATGAATATGGATATAACTCAAGCAAAGAATCTTATTCTCGAGGGAATGACACGTGGTCTGAAATGGGACAGCATTACGCCGAGCCGAGGAGGTCTATTCGAATGTAACACTCCTTTTGAGTGTTTGATATATTACTTCATTGATAAATAAAAAACTTCAATCCATATCAAACAATTTAATCAATGGAGCTTTCTCAAAATTATCTTGGATAAGAGGCTAACATGAAAACAAAAGAACGCAGACTTTTTCTGGATGGAACTTTTGGCATTTCTTTTTTTTTTTCTTCTTTTGGTATTTTCATGTTAACCTCGAATTCGAGAATTTTGAGAAGACTCCATGACTATTGTTATCTATCATAAGATAACCATCAGTTGTACTTTTATACAGGCTGGTCTGAGAACTCTTCATGGACTGGGCCCTCAGTTACGAAGAGCCATTTCCGGTCAACTGGACGATGATGACGTAGGACTGTTCTTAAAGGAAGATGTCCAGCAAAAGTCGCAGGTAAATATCCATATGATCGAGAGAATACAAGACAAAGGGAATCAAGGGTGATAGTGCTCTCAATCAGCATCCCATTTAGTCAGCTGGTTTAAGGCCAGTATTTGACAATATCGTTGCAGACTGGAAGAAAGATGGAATTTTGGCTTAGAGATAACTTAGACTCTGTAGACCATATTTAGAAGGGGTCCCATGAAATCTAGTGTCAGGAGGGCGGGGGAGGGGGGGAGTCATTGACTGTATGGTAGTGGCGGCGCATGCTATGGAAGAAATATTCACATATCTGTTATTTTTAAAAGCAATGACCCACCCCTCCCCATCCTAAACTAATTATCCACCCTCCATATATGGAAATTCAGTACTGGTTCCGGAATTCAGGGTTCTCCGTTTTTCCTTCCTTCGCAATCGTCAAAACATACCACGCTATTTCATTTGCGAGTTAGCCGTGCCCTGACTTTGATCAATCCAGAGGCTTTTTGGTATCTAATCAGTATCGATAAAATTTGAAGGTCATCATTACATTAGAAAAGTAAGCCAGGGAATTCTTTTGATTCGAATCATTAATATTTACATATATTCCGTTTTTGCAGCACAAACGGTTCTGGGAAAGTCTAAAGAATGCGGTTACTCCATCGCCGCGACACAGCCGACCAAACAGGTGCCGAAATATTTCATTTTATTTCATTTCAGTATTATTAATTGTTATTATATAGTTAGGATAGTACACGCGCGCTGATCAACTAATCACGAAGCGCGTAATTTAAAGGTTGTCAGTCAAGCACAAAATATATGATCATTCGGCACTAAAGGAACCAAATGCTTGCCTACTTGTTATTGGTGGATACTGTTGCCATGACAACTGACGTGTTTTGTTCTCTCGTAGTTTCCGCCGTCCAGGTTCGATCCGTCTGTCAGCATTAATCAAGAAAAGTAATAACAATACTCCAGAATCTCAGAGGAAGGCTTCACTGCCTGCTACCTTGACCGTTCTACAGGTATCTGAATACTCAAGTTACGAGTTCTCTTTGTTAAGCATTTGTCCCGGTTGTGCGTCATAATATTTAGCTATTCAACCAAAACCCGTGGCATTT